TTTCAGGCAAACAACCAAGCTCAGAGAGCACCAAGGACTCCAGAATACAAAGAAGAATATAAGCTTATGGAAATATCTGACCAAGCGCCCTATTGTACAAACTAAAGCAGATTTTCCCGGACCCTGATCACTTTCGACTTTAGAGCTGACATTCTCAAACAACCAGGAATAGTACTGTAAATGGCAGAGAGAACACTGCAGCCATTCTTTGCTCCGTCTCTGCCTCAAATTCAACAGCTTTTTCCAAAAAAGAGATAAAACCTGAATCTTACTGGACAAGATCAGAGGACCATCAACCAGTTACTGAGTTCTTGATTTATTGATATTTTATTTATTTATATATCACATTTATATAGCCGCCCATCTCACACAAAGTTACTCTGGGCAGCATACAACAACTGAAGAAAACAACAAATGGGTCAAAACAATCATTATAAAAAGATAAAAAGTGATTATTAAAATACAAACATTATCAAAAATTTTAAAAATTTTAAATTTTAAAATATACAAACCCCATGGAAAGAGCAGCATATCAATCATAGTGGAGCCATCTAAGAATGTCTCCGGTTTCCAAAGACCCCCAGGCCTGATGACATAATCAGGTCTTGGGGGACTTCCTTGATACATTAAACTCTAATAGACCCCTGGCTGTCCTTTACAAATCTTAACATACACGTTTTTGTATGTATTTATAATTGGTGTATTGCACTGCAAAAGTCAGAGAAGTGAAAATAATTGTGTTACCGTTTCTACATTGATTCCAGAAGTGTGAACAAGGCATATTCTATTAAAATGGGAACAAAATACATTTGTTCTCAATCTTCTCCCAGCATAGCTAAAATCAGATGAACTGAGACTAATCGTAATCATGTATTTATTCTAGTTTGGCATTTATTGTATTTTTCTCTCTTCCGAGGAGCAAAATATACTGCTTCCCATTTGTTCACAAAACAATAAGATAAATTGTGCTGAAGAGGAATGAGTGGCTGTCCCCATGTCTTCTATTTTTTAAGCCTACTTTTTTAATGTGAGCCCATCTTATCATTAGTCTGATTTTAACCTTCTTAAAAAAATGAGCCTTTGAAGTATCCACTGAAACCTCTATTTCTAATGAGATACTTCCCAACTTGATGTCCCAACAAGTATACTTCATTTAGGCCCTGCCCAGAGGCAGAGGCGTCTGTGTGTCTAAGTACAGTAGTCTCAACCTCATAAGATTTCAGCCAATACTTTTTTTTAAGATTATTTAGTTTGGGGGTCCTATGGATGCCTTTTGGGGGAACACCCATACCAGGGTGCCTGCAAGTTCCATATTGTGAACTCTGGCTTATGGGGTGGCCCTCAAATGGTGAAGAATGGTCTTCATTAAAGAGAAGTGGCTCTAACTTTGTCTACAGTTCATCCCTTTAGTATTCTTATCTAAAGAAGAGTCTTTTCATTTCCCAACAACCAATCAAATGTCCTTAATTAATTGGTGGCTATTCATGAGTCTAACCTTCTATATCCAAGGAGACTTGGACAATTATCTGCCTTTGATATCTTCTGGTCTCTTTGCTTAGGTGATAAATGATGGTTTCCATTTAAATCCTTCTGGGCATCAGTGCTATCAGCATCCACCAATAATGAACAGAATTCCTCCTGCACAACCTCGAGTCATATTCAGAAGTTGTTGCCTTGGATAGACCCATTGTTGCATTATAACACCCCATCACATGCTAGGCATTTCTGTTAGTGCAGACTAGTAAAATCAGTCGTACACAAACAAGGAAGCTAGCATGGAAAGTACCAGCAACAACCTGGGGAAAAGCCTCAAATTTCAGGAGGCAAGCCCCCGCAGCTTGTCACGTGCTCAATCGGCGCACATGATTCCTTGTGTTTTATGTATTACCATATATGGTTATGGGCTTTTATTAGGTATTGTGAGCTTTATTTGCTTAAC